AAAATTTTATATCTGAACAATCAGTTGTATGGGAGCTATAGGTTATAGTGACCCGATCTTTGTAATTTTCACTGTAAGTATTCTGTTGATAATGGGTATAAGTACTGCAAAAATTCATGTTCGTAGCTGCATAAATGGAGAAGTTATAACGAAAAATCTCATATCTGAACAATCAGTTGTATGGGAGCTATATGTTATAGTGGTCCGATTCTTCCGGTTCCGCCAAATGATTAATACATTATAAAAATACACCCACCTACCAAATTTGATCCGCATATCTCGAAAACTGAGAGACTAGACTGCATACAAACAGACGGACATGGCTAAATCAACTCAGCTCGACGTTCTGATCATACAAGTATACATTTTAATGGGTCTATCTCTTTTTGTTCTGGTACTTACAAACACCGGACCATAGTTATAATACCATTTCATACTAATGAAAGGTATAAAAATGCCAAGATCAAGAGTACTACTTCATACTTGCCCTTTATTGTACTAAAATTTAATGGGCTACATAACTGCATACTCGGGACAATTCTGATAAAAATGTTTAAAATTTTGATAAGCAATTGTTAAAATTCGTCGAATTTTTATAAATGTTCTACAAGGTTTTAAATTTTGAATTACATGTTTTTTTACATAGTAAGTTATATTTACATAAAAAAATAATAAACATTTCTTAAAAAAAGAAAAAGTAACGAAAACTTGCTAAAATGTTTCTTCCCTATTTACATTCTCGCCACCGTATAGATTATGTGTATAGACTTTGGCGATAATTCTTTAATTTTTTCTCCTTGTTTTGTTTTAAATAAAACTGTATTAAAAGATATTATGTCTTTTTATTCTAAAAACAAAATTCTTTGTTCGGATTCGATGATTTAGAAATGTCCCGATTTTTGGCCACGGAAATCTAGTCACCGTATATATACATCATCATTTCCCATAGGACTGATATTTTCTGAAAGATTAATTAATCATTCCAGATTTTTTGTTTTTTGATGAAAATATGAAAAAATACGTCCACACAGTCAACGTTTTAATGTGCATGGTGTATGTAATAGCAACACCAAATAGATATGTATGTTTTAAATTTGTAGCTTAAAATATGCAAACAAATTCTAACTCGAGCTCGTCTTCTACTGAAACTGAATGGGATTCGGAACAAAAAATTTATATTTTGATGCATTTTTTTAAATTTTTCAATTTTTATACATTTTTTAGAAAGTTTGAGACCAGGGTTCGCATTTGCTCACACATGCTCTGCTCACACACACGCCAGAAACACATTCAACTTGCACTCATTGATCATACACATGTGTGTGCATTAGTGGAAAACAAACTCTGCTGACAGCAAAGTGTGTACTGTCTACAGCTCAGAGGCATTTTATGGTATAATCTTGGTCGATGATGGGTTTTATTCAGAATTGAATGCTCCACCAGCGAGGTAATACGGGTAACTAAACCCAATTTTTTCATGAAATTCTCGTTTTTTGCCCCTATCTCGAAAACAACATGAGCTACAAAAAAAATTTTTTTTCAAACTGGTAGGACATTCGATTTCCTACAAACAAATTCTACAACACCAAGTCCCTAATATCCACATTACTTGAGATATTGGACTTTGAAATTGATCAACAATTTCTACAATTTAGCTTAATAGTCCATTAAAATTCCACACTAAATCAACTTCAACGCCCAATATCTCAAAAAATGTCGATGTTAGCGATTTGGTGTTCCAAAACTTTTTTTTAGGAAATTAAATTTCCTGCAAATTTGTTATTAACATTTATTCTGTAGCTTTTGTTGTTTACGAGATAGGGACCAAAAAACGAGAATATCATAAAAAAATTGGGTTTAGTGACCCGTACTAACGCGCTAGTGAGAGTTAAGGGTACGACATATTGGACACTTTTGTAGAGCATTAAATTTTGAAGAAAACCCATCATTGACCAAGATTATACCATAAAATACCTCTGAGCTGTAGACTTTTTAAGAAAAAACTCAAAGTTTACGTGAATTTTATATGGGAAGTCTTTGCACGCCTTTGGCGAGTACTTAGTGTTAATATTAAGGGTTCAAATTTTCAGGGAGGTTTTTTTTAGGTGCTTTCCTCAAAATTTCGAGGTAGGAGTAGGGATAGTAAATCCAAGTACATACTAGATACTTTTCTCAATTTACCAAGTGTTTTTGTACTCGATACTTTTTACTGTGATCCAAGTAGGTATCGAAAAAAGTACTTGTAGCAGAAGCGAAAAACTTATTATTAGGGCTCGGAATCTCATGCAAATGCATGCTTTTCCTGATCATCTTCAAATGGAAATGGTTAAGTTAGCCTAAGGCTTTCTGCACGTTGGTCGTCCAATCATAGTC